CTGAACAGTGCTATGGAATTGGGCACCTGAAACCCCCCACTTCATAACTGAAGAATAATTAACGAATTAACTTTAATCTTGAAAGGACAGAGAGAGGACAAATTTGAAGAAACATGGTCAAGATTCTATCACTGGTTCGAAGAACTGAATGACTGAAATATAACAAAGATAGAGCTTAATAAGAACATTATATGAAATATTGTGCAAAGTTTGGATAGTATCATAGGGCGTAGAAATAAGTTTTATGATGTGACATGTATGGACAACACATTCTTTACTCAAAGTATGAAGGGATGCTCCCATTTTCTGTTTGTGTTCAATGTCGTCTGTGTCTGTACGTTGTGTATGTTTAATAAAATACATTTCTTACATGAAAAATAACTGAAGAATATAGGTCGAGGGGTGCAGCTTTTCTAGTTGAGGAGCACAATCAGGCAGCAAGTTGTCTAGTGGAAGACTTGTCAAAACTAAAAGGGACCCCCGCCTCCACTGGGGGGGGGCGGGGTCTGGCAACCCAACTCCCTGGCTAGGAAGTCACAGCAAGTAGGAACTGCCATGGAGAAAGTCCCATTCAGTGACCCTGACTCAGTTCATTACCCTTCCTTTCTTTTTCTTGATAGTCACCCAGGCAGTGGCTTCCTGTCTCAGGGACATGGCCTGAGGAAAGACGAGGAACTTTTCTTGTAGTAATCGTAGGAGACAACCACAGAGCTGAAACTGGCAGCCCCAATGGCCTTCCAGGCTATCCCTTCCACATCTGGATCACAAAGATCAGATCCACTGTGTATGACTACTGCATATAACAGATATTAGGTAGTGCAGTGGTCAGTTTTGAATTACAGGAACTCTTTATGACAACCAATAGCCACACCCCTGCAGACATCCTCCTAGTAAGCCTTTACACCTAACTCCCCCACCCCCAAATGTCCTATTTCTTCTTGGACGTAAGAGTTCCTTGGAATGAGTACTGAGATTAGGATACACCCCAGATACACCCCCAGATAGATGCCTCTGGGAAGCAAATCACCTGTCACTTCAGAAGGTAAGCACTGATGTGAAGCCCGGATATCAATCAGATTTGTCTGCTTTAGGAAGCTGAATCAGTCTACATGTTGCTTCACCATAGTGGCTAACACACTGAGGAGGGGGAGGAGGAGGAGGAAGCAGAAGACGACAATGACGACCCTGGGGGTCCCTTCCAACTCTATGATTCTAAGAAGAAGAGGAGGAGGAGGAGGGGGAGGAGGAGGAGGAAGCAGAAGACGACAATGACGACCCTGGGGGTCCCTTCCAACTCTATGATTCTAAGAAGAAGAGGAGGAGGAGGAGGGGGAGGAGGAGGAGGAAGCAGAAGACGACAATGACGACCCTGGGGGTCCCTTCCAACTCTATGATTCTAAGAAGAAGAGGAGGAGGAGGAGGGGGAGGAGGAGGAGGAAGCAGAAGACGACAATGACGACCCTGGGGGTCCCTTCCAACTCTATGATTCTAAGAAGAAGAGGAGGAGGAGGAGGGGGAGGAGGAGGAGGAAGCAGAAGACGACAATGACGACCCTGGGGGTCCCTTCCAACTCTATGATTCTAAGAAGAAGAGGAGGAGGAGGAGGGGGAGGAGGAGGAGGAAGCAGAAGACGACAATGACGACCCTGGGGGTCCCTTCCAACTCTATGATTCTAAGAAGAAGAGGAGGAGGAGGAGGGGGAGGAGGAGGAGGAAGCAGAAGACGACAATGACGACCCTGGGGGTCCCTTCCAACTCTATGATTCTAAGAAGAAGAGGAGGAGGAGGAGGGGGAGGAGGAGGAGGAAGCAGAAGACGACAATGACGACCCTGGGGGTCCCTTCCAACTCTATGATTCTAAGAAGAAGAGGAGGAGGAGGAGATTGGATTTATACCCTACCCTTCACTACCTGAAGGAGTCTCATAGCAGCTTACAATCTCCTTTCCCTGTGAGGTAGGTGGGACTGAGAGAGCTCTTTTGAGGACTGCTTGTGAAAGAACACCTCTGAAAGAACTTGTAACTTACCCAAGGTCACACCAGATTAGAATCTACCGCTCCTAACCACTACACCAAACTGGCTCTCGTTGAGTCCATCACTGACGTGCCACACAGCCTTAGGCAAGCCACTCTTACTATGCAGAGATAATAATACTGACCTACCTAAGAGGGGAGTTTTGAGACCTGCAGCAAGATAATGTATGTGAAGAGCTCTGTGGGCCTAAAGGTCCATTTAGTCTAGCAGCCTGTTTCATGCACGCAGTGGCCAACTAGATACCTCCAGCAAGCCCACAAACAGGGCACAAAGAGAACAGCCCTCCTCAGCTGTCCCTCCACTAGTAAGCATTATTCAAGATAGATTGCCTCTGAACATGAAGGTTCAATTCAGCCAGCACAGCTGACAGGGCTTGGTAAGACCTTCCTTTGCATTTGCCATTTTAAAAAGCCACCTAAGATATAAATTCCTGCCAACCTAGCAGTTCGAAAGCAAGAAATTGCAAGTAGATAAATAGGTACCACTTCGGTGGGAAGGTAACAGCGTTCCGTGCGCCTTGGTGTTTAGTCATGCCGGCCACATGACCACTGAAACGTCTTCGGACAGCGCTGGCTCTTT